TTTTCACTTATTTAAATTTGTCGCAAAATAATAGTATGTTATGTTGCTAGGTTATCTTAAGTCATTTTAATGGTTTGATATATCATAATAATCACGTCCTTATTTATCATATATTAAAATACATGATGTATATATATATATATATATATATATATATATATATATATATATATATATATATATATATATATATATATATATATATATATATACATATATATATATATATATATATATATATATATATATATATATATATATATATATATATATATATATATATATATATATATATATATATATATATATATATATATATATATATATATATATATATATATATATATATATATATATATATATATATATATATATATATATATATATATATATATATATATATATATATATATATATATATATATATATATATATATATATATATATATATATATATATATATATATATATATATATATATATATATATATATATATATATATATATATATATATATATATATATAGTGAGTGATATATCTAGATAGAGAGTATTTAATTAGTTTTAATGTTGATAAAGATCTTTTATAAGTGAGTTGCCATGACAAAAAAACATGACAAAACTCCATGACAAAGTAAACAAATGTTTTAATGCTAGTCCAACTAAATGTGAGTATCTTTATGTTAAAGAAACTTTTGAGATTTAAGCAAAGACGATAAGTTTTTAAAACTAACGTTTAGGTTTCTTATTATAAAAAAAAGTGTTGTAAAAAAAATTATCAGTAACTTTTACAATAACATAAAACAACCAAGAATAAAGCATCAATATTTACTTATTCAATTTAAATCAAGTTGTTTTAAAATCAATTTTATAATATAAAAATAGTTATACATTTAAGCTTTTGCATTACATTATACATTTTACATTTACATTACATTATACATTACGTTATACATTTAAGCTTTTACATTTTACAGCATTTTATAAATGTTAAACATGACATACACAAAATGACTAATACCCCCAGAACATATCCTGGCTATAAAAGAAAAGTGTTAGCACATTTGGCTTGTAGAGAGGCAGATAATGCAAACCAATATGTTTGTGATAAGCATAGTTTGAATGATCGAGACAAACTAATATAATTATTACACTAAGTTTAAAGTAATGTAATAAAAAAATTTATTGTAAGAATTTTTTTTTTACAAAAATAACAAATGTTTTAAATAGCATAAACCATTAACCAATTAATTAGTATTTTCAATAACATAGTATGTTCAAATGAATTGGCTACATAAAAATGTTGTGTGAAAAGACTGACACGGTGCACAGGCATTATGATACCAACAATTGCACTGATCGCATTGCAACCATTTTAAAAGAGCACCACAGGGTTTAATTCAAAATATAATGTAACATATATCTTCGTTATCAATGTTAGCACTCGTGCGTTGTAGAAGTCTAACACTAATGTATCGACGATATAATTCATTTATTCCTTTAAAATAATTTTTTACATACGTGATGTGGTAGCGTTAAATTCTTCATGATTCATTGAGACTTTTTTTTACATTGTTTTTATAGTCACTCTCGGCATCAGGAGCCACATTGACATCACAATCTTCGTTGTTCGATGTACCTGCGTTAAGTTTAGACTTTTTTCAGAAGTTACTAGTTCACCAACAAAACGTTGCACAGCTTTAATAAGGTTTTACTGGTCAACATGAACATGTTTTTTTAGTTTATTTAATCAAATTAAATACCTCGATACTGGTTCCTTTCAACAAAAAAAGGTAAAAAAAGGTATTTTTTTTGCAAAAACAAAAATTTTTAGTAAAATAAAGAAAAGTCAGCTTTAAGGATGGGCCAGGCAGGGTTTTAGGTTTTTGTGCCGAGCCACAACGTTAAATTTTGAAAGGTTTGGTGGTTTTTCTACTTAAGGTTAATATATTTTAACAAGTTTGACTTTTCTTATGTTTAAATCAGTTTTATTTTTTTGACTTTTCAGTGTGTCTAAATCAGAATATCTAAAGTTTTGAAGTAATTCTCTCGACACTATCTCCCTTAAACAGAAAGATCTTGATCAAGAAGAGCAATTAGAATCCAGGTTTAGTCCAGGTTCAATGTATGATTATGGTTCTATTGCGACATCAAACTTGTTAGGATAAAATGATTTACAGTCGAAGTTTTTAGGATCGAATTTTTTAATTAAGTTATTAAAACTTATTTTAGTCGAATAATATAGAACAAAATCTTATAGAATCGAATCAGTTAAATAAATTAAAATTTAATCTATGCAATAGTATATTAAATATTACATTAAATAATACATTAAATTTATAATGATAAATAATAATAAATATAATGATTTATTAAATTTATAAAATCATAATAAATATAATGATTTATTACATGTATAAAATCTGTTGGTCGTCTGCATACTGGGCAATCATTAGTAGCACTACTTTGAATGGCTTCAGCACATCGCTGGCATAGGTAAAGGTGGCGGCAAGGGAAAACAACAACTTGAAGATTGCTGACGAGGCAAACTTTACAGACATTTTCGATTGGTCTGTCCACCACAGCAGCTTGTCCATTTGATTGAGATTCTTCATCAACAGTTTGTTCCTAAAAAAATATAAATATAAAATATCTAACTAGTAGAATTCCTTGTCACTGTCCCAACAAAGGGAAGTCGCCACCTGTCAACAAAAACAAGCCTCTAACATGAATACTGCAACAACATCACACATGCATTAAAATTACAATTGTAAAAAAATTCGATGCTAAATTAATCGGCTGTGAAAAGTAATTCAGTTTTAAAATTACAAATTTGATGTTAAAAAAAATTCGATGCTAAATTAATTGGATGTGAAAAGAAATTCAGTTTTTAGATTCATTTAACTTTTAATAATATTCGATCATCTCATTCTATGTTCAATAAATTTGATTCTAGAAATTAATTATATCTTTTTCAATTCTAAGCAGTTTTTAGACAATTCGGTTCTAGAATATTTTTACAAATTCGGTTCTGGCATTGGACGCCCAATTTTTGGATGCTGTTATAAATGATGTAACAAATGACGTCGCATTAAAAGTCCAATCGATCTTACAATAAAAAGTAACATTAAATCTACTGCATTATTTACAAAGTATTTGCTTCATTGTATATTAATGTATTTTCTTCGCAAGTATTTAATAACAATTACTTTATAACAATAACATTTTAAAACGTCTAAAAAACGTTAAAAAGCGTTTTAATACGTTTTTTTTAACGTTTTAAAAACGTCCTGTGCTTATGCTAGACGCTGCTTTTATTAATTATTATAATGATTATTATTAACCATAGCAGTTTAAAGTTATTGTTAAATATATTGTTTTCTCAACTTAACGGGAATTTATTTTTTAGAGCTACTTTCTAAATGTCTTTTAAATGTCTTTTAAATATTTAAACGTAAAGATGGTTAAAAAGACGTTAAAAAACTTTTAAAAGAGATTTAGAACGTGACAATTGTTGATGTTATTTTTTTAGTGGTTGTTACAGTTTTTTTTATAGCTGTCTGTGGTCAACTAATATTTTATTTGTGTAAAGCCAAACCAGGCCAATTTAGTTTTAAAAAATATACGGGTAAGATCAGTAAAGTGATGTTAGACCAACATCATTCAACTGATGTTTGCACGATTTCATTTTGCTGATGTAGGCCCGAGGTCAAGGTGTTAATGTTGCCTCAATTCTATATCCAAAAAAACTTTGGCTTGACGTAAAAACAATACGATCTGCCGCTGCATAAACACACGCTCTGCCATTTTAGGCACGACGTATATATGCTACTTCAAAGCGTATAAGCACATCATTATAAATGTATTTGTTAAATAAAAGTATGTACTTCATTATTTATTATTTTTTGGCATATAGTTATTCTGGTATATATCAGAAAAACTATATGCCAACTATATGCGAAATCCGAAGATGAATATAAGAATAAATTTGTTTAAAATAGCAACCCATTTGGATTGGAAACATTTTTTTAATAAAAAATCAATATTGATATGAGCAATTCCTTTTTAACTTACGTTACACGCGCACCAACTTTAACTTTGCCAATTTAAACTTTAAAATAAATTTTTAGCTGTTTAATAAGAAAGCTGTTAGTCTAAAGAATAAAATAAACTAAAAATTTTTGAGTCTGGCTCAAAAAGAGCGAACTTATTACTGAAAACGCCACTTAATTTACGTTACCCAAAAAAAAGGTAAAAATATTGCTCCAATTTTTAGGTCAGATTTTTGCGAATCAGTAAAGGCAACTTTCACATTTTGTTGAGAATTCTATACCAATTTAAAAAATATATAAAAATTTATCAGAGGTGATCGGCTTAGAAAAATTAACTTGTTTTTTTTATACTATATATTTAGCTTACGTTGCATCACTTACCCAGCAAACAAAAAGATATCTAAAATGCATCTAAAAACTGATCTAAAAGATGTCTAAATTCAGGTTTAGAACGGGACATAAATAGACGTCTATCTTATAGATGTCTTTTAGATGCATTTTATTCGACACAAATAATTGCCTTAGATGCATAAAAGATGTGAAATATACATCTTACAGATGCATGTTAGATGTATAAAATACGTCTCTTAAATAGATGTCTAAGGCGCGTTTAAAAAAGATAGATAATAGATAATTTTTTAGTTAATAATAGCTCTTTTATGCATCTAATATACATCTAATATACATCTTTAAATGTATATTTCACATCTTTTATGCATCTAAGGCATTTATTTGTGTCGAATAAAATGCATCTAAAAGACATCTAAGATAGACATCTATTTATGTCCCGTTCACGACGTGAATTTAGACGTCTTTTAGACCAGTTTTTAGATGCATATTAGATGCATTTTAGATATCTCTTTCTTTGCTGGGACTTGTTTGATACAAAGGTGTTACAGCGGTTAAATTAGTCATAAAAAAGGATTAAATTAAATAAGTAAAGAAACATTTTAACTAACATTACTTAATTTTTATGTCACAAAAATATACATAAGAAACTATATTTCTGCATTGCCGTCAACATTTTCTTCCACGTCGCCGATATCTAAAATATATACATTAATGACATTTAAATGACTTTAAAAGACATGTAGAATTCTGAATTTATTTTTATGAAATATTATATATATATATATATATATATATATATATATATATATATATATATATATATATATTTATATATATATATATATATATATATATATATATATATATATATATATATATATATATATATATATATATATATATATATATATATATACACATACAGTATCGGACAAAACCAGTGCAACCAAATGATGCTAATTTAGTTTCTTTGTATAAAAGTGCTGTATTTTTTAAATTTAGAGAAATAACTATGTAACTGTTTAGAGACAACGTTCTTCAAAATTTATTCATCACGAAGTTCATTATTTGTACACGAAAATTAATAAATTAATCAAAAGTATTAAAAAAAGTTGATTTCCTTCTGGACAAAACAAGTGCAACTCCACAAAATGTTGACCAAGCTGTATTCATATCAATATTTTGTGGTGAATCCTTTGTTGTCGATCACAGCCTTGCATCTTTAAGGCATAGATTCGATCAGGTGATCAATGAAACTTTGTGGAAACGCTGCCTAGGCCTTTTGAATTTGTTCAAACAGTTGATCTTTATTACGAACACATTCATGACTAACTCTGCGGTTGACAATCTCCCACAGGTTCTCGATAGGGTTGAGATCCGGAGATTGAGGCGGCCAATCCATCACCAATAGATGGTTGTCTTGAAACCACTGCTTGACTACTTTTGCAGTGTGTTTGGGATCGTTGTCTTGCTGAAAAACCCATTTTATTGGTATATTCCATTCAGCATGAGGTAACATAACATCTTTCAGGATATTTTTATACATGAAACGGTCCATTATTCCATCGATTCGATGATTGGACCTAGACCGTTAGTAGAAAAACACCTCCAGACCATTACATTGCCTCCACCATGTTTCACAGTCTTATGGCAGTAACGTTAATTAAGGCGTTTTCCGGCCGCTTGACGTACAAGCAGCTCTAATTGCTTTTGTATCTCAACTGATGATAGTTGAGATACAAAAGCATTTTGTATCTCAATTTCTAGATTCTCTCTAGAAATGGTGGAACGAGGTCTTCCACCATTGTTATCTGCTGCCAACTTCCCTGTGGAACAACATTTGGAACATAGTCTTGATACGATCTATTTTTCACACCATATTTATCATAAATATTTTTTTGTGACATTCCACTTAAGTAATTGCAAATAATTTTCTCTCTTAGTTCCAACCCAAGACTGTCAGGAACCATTTTTGCACTTGAAGTCATAAAAATAATAAAAATAAATAACCACACTTCTCAAGGCTTACCGAGTTACATTTACCTTGTGATGATAAAATATTGCTCTGCGGAACGTCTTGGTTGGATGTGGACTGTATTGATGTAATGAAACACTTGTTGTATTTCACTTCTGGTATTGATGTTCTTCGATTAAACACTTTGATAAAACTCATTTCGATAAACTGTCTTGATAATACTGACTGATTGACTTCCATATACTGACTGAATTACATGTCTCTTATATAGTAAAATGAACCTGTGTGAACCTGTTCTGGAAGATTCTAGATGCTTCTTTTCAATACTTCTGGAAGCTTCTGGATGCGTCTGAATGCTTCTGAATGTTTCTGGATACTTCTGGATGCTTTCTGATGCTTCTTCTGGAAACTTCTGGAAGCTTCTGCATGCTACTGGAAACTTCTGGATTCTCCTTTAATTATTAAAAAAATCCTTTAATTATTAAAAAACTTCTGTGATGTATGCTGCAAAATGGCACTTGTCAACAAAATTCTGCCTGTGTGCTGTCACCTGTCAGCTGATTGCTCATATCATGGCATGCTATGAGTCCAAACTCCTGAACTGTTTGCTGTGGTAGTATAGTTTGTTTCATTTTTAAGACATATAAAATTAGGAACACTTTTTAGCATTGTTCGATGTTGGTTGCAAATGTTTTGTCCAATACTGTATATACACATATATACATGTGTATATATATATATATATATATATATATATATATATATATATATATATATATATATATATATATATATAAACAAGAAGATTTGTATCTCAACCAGATACAATAATAAACAACAATTTTTTTATGAAAAAACTAAAGGAACTTATATTATGGATACAAAAATTCTAGCATGACACAAAAAAGTCGAAGAATATCTTTTTAATACAGATATCAGTTTTGTAAATACTATTAAAGCTATACCTCGTAAAACACTCCATATATTTACTAGATTTTCTAAGCTTATCTTTTCCCCATTCCCTTTTCAATTTAATTTGGACTGTAACTGATTTGAAAATAACCTGATAAATATTTTAACAATAAACTGAAATATAAGATTTTTATTTTAATATATGTAATAAATTAAAATATATTTTAATATATAAATGCTTAAAATTATGAAAGATAAAAGTATTAAATTTGAAAATAAAATGCTAAACAAGGTTTAGCATTACACTTACTTTAGCACACAAACAAACTTAAACACCTACAGCGAAGCTCCCGAGTTTATCAAATTGTCATGTTAAAAGTAAATCCATAACAAATAACGGTCAAAAAGAATTGCTTTTGGTCCCTTTTAATCATATTTCTAATAATTAATAAAAACATAATCATTTACCTTTACATGATCAAAAAAACATGTTCTCTTGGCTTTCCACCATCAATCTTTTTTAAACTATCAAGCTGAAATAAATGTAATAAAAACTAGTGTAACTTAAATTTCTTTACAACATATTGAGTCTAACACAAGCTAGTTATTTTAGTTCATTTACAAATACTTTTTATTTAGATTCTAAACTAATAAATCAAATTTAAACAAACTTATTAAAAACTAAGATAATTAGATTATACCAAATTAGTATACTCGGTTTTATCTTTTAGTTTATTATCCAGTGTAACCACTTCATCCACCGATTCTAGCAACTTCACCCCAGTAGCCTGAAACTTAATTTCTATAACTTCTTTTAAAAGAACTTTTATTTCTGCAAGCTCCTTGAGAATAACATTTTGCATCTCAACAAACAAGAATAAAAAGATTGATTAACATATTTAGCTCATAAAACCAAATAGCAAAACAATGAAAATTAAAATTATGCTTGAGTAACTTAAACTAAAATTCCAAAAACACATGTAAGTTTTTTTATTACTCCATCACAGAAGTTGCCATAATATTTTGGAAAACCTACTTTTTAAATCAGCTAAAACTTTATCCTGTAAAAGGCTACGATATTAAAGAATTTTAACTACTACTAAAAGTAGTAGTTAAAATTCTTACTAAAAAAACTACTAAAGATAAAATGCTACACACATGATTTATCAGATCACAATATTATAAATAATCCATTTCTATTCTTTTATACCTATCTTTTACAATTATTTTAACACAAAAACAAAATAATAAAAAAGACCTCCACATTAACATTCAGTGGTGTAAAAACCAAAATTACTCACATTAAAACTTAAAACTCTTTGACAATGTGAACTTTGCTTGGTGTTCATCAATAAAATGTGAAGAAAAATTATCTTCTTCAATCTTTGAATCTGATAACAACTCTATTTAAAAGAAATAATTATAATTAGAACTATAAATAATCCCTCAACCATAACTGTTACTTAATTTAATCTTTCAACCAATTTTGTACTCTTTCAATTTCTGAATTCAAACAACTTCAGCATGCTTTCAATCAGTTTTCAATTTTCATATCAAGTTGATTAAAGGATTATTTAATACAATAGAATGTTGTCAATGATATATATATATATATGTAACCAACTTAACAACATTACATATAATAGGACACCCAAATAGTTAAAATAAAAAGAAAATCTTAGTAATACATAAAAAAGACTAATAGCTAGATAGATATTATTCAAATCAAATTAAACAAGAATCTATTTCAGTTTATAAACCATTAAGAAAAAATTATGATATTTATGTTATACTTTTAGCATTGGGCTTATTCATAATAGGTGGCGGAGGTTCTGGCAATGAAGAGCGGTATGATTTGTTATTCTTATTTTTAATGCTTTCTTTAACATTTATCTCATCTGATGTAGAAAGTTGTATTCTTCATAACATGAAAATGAATCTAATTATAAAACATTTTGCTACAAAAAAGTAATTAAGTTACCTTTAAAAAAAATACACAACAAGTTAGATACTGACTATCTGTTATCTTACACTTTATCAATGGAAATTTGTGCCATTCTTTTGTTGACAAAAGGTTGTTTTTCAGTGTAAGATTAAAGTTTTTTTTTGGGACAATAAATTTGTTGGTATTCTTTGTCAATCCACTTGTTTAGTGCATAATTACTTGGTTAAATAAAACATGCAGAAAAACTTTCCTTTAAAGTTGGGTTATGCTTATACTCATTAGGCTTTTGGTCATAAGAGTATTCATTGTACAAAATCGCTGACTCATGATGGTCAAAATATTATTTTTGATTTTTGCAAGATAAGAAATCATTTCTTTTAGAAGTTCCAACATTCGATTTTTTTTTCTATATGTACTGATGAAAAATCTAGTATTTTTTAATATTCTTTTTGGACACGTCTACTGCGTCTCTTTTCGTATGCCCTTTTTGTAAAAGACATAAATGAATCTTGGTTTCTCGATAAAAACGATAAGTGCACAACCAATATAACAATCTTTTGTGTTATTGAAAAACACTCATAATATGAGTGTTTTTCAATAACACAAAAGATTGTTATATTGGTTGTGCACTTATCGTTTTTATCGAGAAACCAAGATTCATATATGAGTCATATATATATATATATATATATATATATATATATATATATATATATATATATATATATATATATATATATATATATATATATATATATATATATATATATATATACAGGGGCGGATCCAGCATTTTTTGGTGTTTGAGATAGCTAACTTCCAGACATGGAGCAAACTCCAAACATTTATATGTTTATACTTATATCAAATAAGGATTGTTTGCAAAAAATTGCAATGATTGGAGCCTGGGAACAAAAAAACCCCACAATTTGAGACGTACCTGCCCCAAACGTGAGAGCAGCAAGTTGATAAAATATTTTTTGTACTATTCTCAACAAGACTTATATTTATCAATAAATTTTAAATTCCATTGTAAAATATTTTAGCGCTCAAAAATTATGACCATATGAAAATTGTAACCCCCTCGAATTGAGGGGGATGCAAACTTTACATGGTCATAATTTTTGAACGCTAAAATATTTTACAATGAAATTTAAAATTTATGAATAAATATAAGAATAAATATATATATATATATATATATATATATATATATATATATATATATATATATATATATATATAATATATATATATATATATATATATATATATATATATATATATATACACTGTGTCAAAAAAGTTTACATCCACCTATCCTGTACATCTTTCAGACGTGATAACTTTACATTCAGCAAAGATATAAGCATAATTTCAACTTAATTATATCAGTTAACCATTCAAGAAGTATTGTATAAAAAGATTTTACAAAATAATGAATAGAAATTAAAATACAACATTTAAACATAAACAATGCCTGTTTTTGCGCCAAAAAAGTTTTCATCCACCCTGCACTCCAACCTCAATTTGTTATTAAATCAGTATTAAAGTATCATTTTTAAAATATAAATTAGATTTAGTAAGATTTTTGTATTTTTTTTTTTTTATATGAGTTTTTTATATTTTTTATTTTTGTTAGATTATTAATAAAAATGAGAGTTGCAGAGGAAATCAGATTGCTTATTGTTAGACTATGGAAAGAGGGAAAATCACAGCGAAATATAGCAAAAATAGTAAAGAAATCACGTGCAACTGTGCAGTCTATTATTAAGAAATACCAAAGCACCAAAAAAATTGCTGATAAGCCACGTACAGGGCGTCCAAATAAAATTCAAGTATTGCATCGACGAGCTATATTAAGAACAGTCATCCAGAATCCTAAAATAAGTGCTCCAAAACTCGCTGGAATGCTGCAAAATGATTACAATTTAAAAGTGGACCCTGAAACTGTTAGAATAACCTTAAGAAGAGCTGGATACAATTGTAGAGTACCATTAAAAAAGCCCTATATCAGCAAAGTCAACAAAGCCAAACGACTACACTTTGCAAAACTTTATATCAATGAACCACAAACATTCTGGGAATCGGTCCTTTTCAGCGATGAATCAAAATTTAATGTGTTTTCATCAGATGGAAGAGTTAAAGTTTGGAGAAAACCAAATGAAGCATTTAAAAAACAAAACTTGTGTCCAACGGTGAAGCTTGGCGGAGGAAGTGTTTTAGTGTGGGGGTGTATGAGTGCTTCAGGTGTAGGAAACTTGGTTTTCATTGATGGAAATATGGATCAAAATGTGTATTTAAACATTCTAAAAAATAATCTGGAAGAAAGTGCCCACAAATTGGGACTTACTAGGTCATTTACTTTTCAGCAAGATAACGATCCAAAACATACTGCCAAACGTGTCAAGGAATGGCTTATATTTAAAATAGCTAAGCAACTTCATACACCCCCACAATCTCCAGATTTGAATCCTATTGAACATCTGTGGGATGAATTGGGTAGAAGAATTAGGACCCACGATGTGAGGAATCAACAACAACTCCAATTAGTAATTATGAAAGAGTGGGGCTTAATCACTCCAGAAATTACTAAAAAAGTAGTTTGTTCAATGAAAAACAGACTACACGAAATAATAAAAGCTCGTGGTGGAAACACAAGTTATTAAAACACTAATAAATTGAGTTCGTATGACAATTTTATTTGATTTTTGTAAAGTGGATGAAAACTTTTTTGAGACAAAGATGTCTATCTTTTATTCCAAAATGCTGTATTTTATTTGTAACTCATTACTTTAAAAAACTTTTTTTGTACAATATTTCTTAAATGTTTAAATGATATAATTTAGTTTATATCATGCTTGCATCTTTGCTGAATAAAAAGTTATTGCATTTTTAAAATGTGCAAGATAGGTGGATGAAAACTTTTTTGACACAGTGTATATATATATATATATATATATATATATATATATATATATATATATATATATATATATATATATATATATATATATATATATATATATATATATATATATATATATATATATATATATATATATACATATATTTTAATTACATTATCTTTTATTCTTGAAATAAAAATATCAACTTGAAAATATTAATTTTGTAATATTTCTGCAAAATAAATTTCAAATCACAAGGATTTTAGCAAACATGCTAAGCATCAACTCATCGAAATATTTTGTGAACTATAATAGCATGTTATTTTATTATTTAAAATTTATCAAAAGAAATAATCATTAATGTTTTCCATAGGTTAAAATCTTCATGCTTTTTTCGTAATAAGTTTAAGCATGGTTTTTAAATGGCGGTCATTTATAATTGTCGCTCCGTAAAATTAGTTATATTTTTTTTTTGTTTTTATAACAAATCTATGTAAGACATCTTATAGACATCTAAGTTTAGATGAAAAAAAATTATCTGAATAGATGAAAAATTATCTGAATTAGATGAAAAAAAGTTATATTTTTTTTTTGTTTTTATAACAAATCTATATAAGACATCTTATAGACATCTAAGTTTAGATGAAAAAAAAATTATCTATGCACGATCTATTTTATGCATCTAATATGCATCTAAAACAGAGCAAAAATAGTATCTCTAGATCCAGACGTCTTTTTGATCTCTAATATACGTCTAAAATATACGTATCGGCATTAGATACAAATTAGACCAATTTTAGACGGTCTAAAAGACGTCTATTGTTTGCTGGGTACGTTACCGAGCGATTAATAGCGTGGATTTTTTATATCTGTCGTTTAGAGTGGGTTTTTTTTTAAAGTTACGTAACGAAAGAATTGCAAAAGTTTTTGAACTCATTCATTAAAAGTAATTAACAAAAAAATTTTAAAAAACTGGTGGCACCCTTCCTGAGATATTTTTCGTAACATTTATCAAATTTATAACAAATCATTAATAACAGTTTTTTCAACTTTAAAAAATTATTTTAATATGGCAACTTTATTAATACTTATCATTTAAATAAGAAAATCTTGAGTTTGTCGAAATTGTTACTTACATTTCTTATGTTTATGCATATTGCCTTATTTTCATTAGGTTGAATTTTTAAAATGCTACAAAGTATTTACATTTACATATTTTAAAATATTTTTTGTATGAAAACTGCTATCACAATTTAGGAAGGAGTTCAGGTATACGTGATCGTTTGTGATAGGAGGAAAGGGCTTAAAATTTGACAAATACAAATTGACTTACTTTATGGACAAACCCTTTCCAATCCCCCCCCCTACCTCTTAATTGCATTTGTTTGCATTATGTAATGACGTAGTTCATTTTGTAAGCAACTAAAAAGCGCCAGAACTTAAGTAAATGCATGTAGTTTCAACCTACGTTTCACAAATTTAAATAAAAATGTGCATTAACTAAACATCGTTATTCAAAACTTTAAATATATATTGCAATAAGTTAAATTCTTTCGTTATTTTCTTAAAAGATATAAATTTTATAAAGTATTAAAGTTGACCAACAACAATTTGAACATGTTAGCTCTATTTTCATGCTAAACTAATTTGGATTATGCAAATAAATTCATGGTTAAAGTAATATTTTTAAAATGATACTTTTTTTATGATGCGACAATGAGAAAAACCGTAACTTTCGGAAGCATAAAAATGACTTAAACTAATTTATTTTAGGACTAAAGGTATACTTTAAATAAACTTTCATGTGTCTTCAATATTCATTTGCTAAAAGTTAACAAAAAAAAAAGGATAAAATTTGACTACTTTTTCATTTTCCGCCGCGGAATCGCCCATATATAAATGTAGATATAAAGAATGCATCTTTTAAAAATTTAAAAAAAAAACGTTTTTGCTGTTGTAAGGTTCTTAAGCACTGTGATTTTTTGCAAAGTACTCTCATTTAAAAAAAATTTTAAATATGAAAATGTTAAGAGTTGTTTCATCTTAAAATGATGTCGTGTTTAAATCTCAAAACCAAAAATACTGTGGTCATGCTGCCATATACCTGGGTTTTAAAAAAAAACCAAAGCAGCAGAACTAAATCTCTTTATTGAAATATATAGTATAAAAATGAACAAATATTAGATTATAGATACCTAAAAAATAAGAACAAATATTACATTTTAGTTTTGTATAATGATTTATGTAAAACCTTCTTTTTGTTCATCTTTCTTTAATTTTAATTTTTCATAACCCTCCCCTCTCTATTTACCGATATCGTTTATGGATGGTCTCTTACTTACATACAAAGTTTCACAATAGCTCTCACCAAGGTATCGACGTCACTATTAAGAAATACTGTTATTCAAAAAAAAAAAAACCCTCCTGCTTTTTCATTCATTTAATAATAAAAATACCTTTCATACATTTTATAAAAAAAGAAGAAGATTTATTGTATTAGAAGTGTCGCACTTACTTGCCTTATTATGATAAGTACAGAATTTTTGATTGCTGTACTTTTTTTCACAATGTTATCGAACATCACTAATACTTAAAATAACTCTGCAACATTTTTTTGTTTTATTGAATTTTTACAAAGCGTAACAGCTAATTAATCTAAAGTACCTCTTTTCTTATGCTTACGTTGCGCTGATTATACTGCATAACTTAAGACTCTTCAACCTTTGATGTAAACTCTTTAACAATGATGTAAAATTGTGATATTTTTAATTTCAATAAATCAAATGGTTTCAATAAAAATACTGTTTTAAGAACATATATATATATATATATATATATATATATATATATATATATATATATATATATATATATATATATATATATATATATATATATATATATATATATATATATATATATATATATATATATATATATATATATATATATATATATATATATATATATATATATTATATATATATATATATATATATATATATATATATATATATATATATATATATATATATATATATATATATATATATATATTATATAAATGTTTATAAAAAGAATTAGATTTTATTTTTACTGTATATTCTTTTGTATTCCATACTTTTGTATTTTAACGCAAAGAAGACGGCCAGATTGCATAATACTGTTTAATAACTTTATAAAAACGCATTTTTTTTTTAATTCAATCTTTTATTTCAGAGTTTTATAACATGGCTAAAGGAGGCTCGTAAACTCGATATACGGGATCTAGATCGGTTTTTGTTTATAAGTTCTAACTCTAAAATTTCATTTTTCTCTTCCGAAATTAAACGCATTAAGTCGTAAAAAACTAACTTTGTGTTTAAATTAAATTTTGCCGATGCTTCAATAAACTCGCATTTGTTTCCCATGGCATTTATTAATATGTAAGCCTCGTCGTTTGGGACTTCCCGGGCATGAGTGTCTGATTTATTTGCAACCAAAATGATCGGAACGTTTGGAGTTTTTTTTATATCAATAATTATATTGTATAAGCGCTTTACTTCTTCGAAAGATTTTTGACTATCGACTGAGTAAACCAAAATAAAGCCATGACAACTTTCAATTGCTAATTTTCTCATGGCTGGAAACTGGTGGTTTCCAGCCGTATCTAGAATCGTTACATCGCATGTTATGTCATTGTATTCAAGAACTTGTCTGTAGTCATCCTCTATTGTTTCGCAATACTCATCTCTGAACTCGTCGTATAGAAACCTTTTTATTAACGACGTTTTACCAACTCCACCGTAACCAAATGCGGCAATGCGTAATTTTTCGACTAAGGTCTACGTAGAGTAGAGAAAGTTTGATTACAATATAGATAAAGTAAAATGGGAAACATAAAGAATACAGGCAGTTAAAGTTAAAACTAATATACTTTTTTGTTTGTTAGTAAAACAATGTTTCAAAACTGTATACACTTACAGACTTTTATTCACTTTTAAATAACTGCCTAAATAGTTTTTAAATATATTCATACAAAATAAGTAAAATAAAATGATAAATTTTTTATTTATATTAACCTCTTCTTTTTCGATAGACTTTTGATTAAAAGGCTGGAAGGAACGTGTTCTTCGTAAAAACATTTTCAAATTCAGCACGTTGTAACAAAGCAACAAGATCTAACTATTAAGATAATAATATTTACATTAAAATGTTTATACGGTGCAAAAAAAATAATAATAATAATAAAAAAATGATGTCAAATATGAAAGTGACACAGATTCGCAAAAAGCTAACAAACACAAGTACTATGCAAATATTGAAATTGGTTGGTCATTTAATCTTTAAGATGATTTGTGGAAATACATTTATATATTTATATACACGCATATGTGTATATATATATATATATATATATATATATATATATATATATATATATATATATATATATATATATATATATATATATATATATATATATATATATATATATATATATATATATATATATATATATATATATATATATATATATATATATATTTGTGTGTGTGTATTTTTTTTGACGTTTTTACTATAAAATACTTATAAAATAATGTTAAGAAAATTTTTGACTTTTTTTGTTTGTTTTTTTATTCAATTTAACATTAATTATTTAAAGTTTTTATGCAATGAAAAACAAAACTCTGTTCTGCATTTGGCTTAAAGCTATAGGTCTTTTTTCCTAAGCGTCGGCTTGTTGCAAAGTCTACTAAAATAGCGACAACATTTTACATTAAAAAAAAAATAATCATTTTAAAAACTTAGCAGGTTCTACAAATTTGCATTTAAATAACCCTATTGTAAAACAACTAACAAAGAAAAAAAAAGAAAACTCTTCTATAGTAAATATCGCAATTCAAATTTGGTTGCGGCCGCAACGTAAGAAGCTTATATATTTTACAAATTTATTATTTCAAAATGCAAGTTTAAAAAAAGAAATTTGAAAATACAAGTTTAGCGTTTTTAAGGCTATATTTAATATAATGTGTAACAATTAAGCACAAAGAATAAAAAAAGGCTGAGTTATCTAGATTAAAGATGTTAACTACCAAGTAAAAGATCAAGTGGAATATTGATCTTAAATAAAAAAAACTTTTAATTATTAAATGCACATCAAAAAAATATAAGAATTCCAAGTAACTGTCTCAGTTTCTAGAAACTAAATCAAATTATGTATAACTTATACATAGTTTGACATAATTTATTCAATAAGTAAAAAAAATAAAATAAAATAGATTGATAGTAAGACCAGCGTGAGGATCAGTTGGAACACAGTGCTTGTTTGTTTTTTTTGTTTTGTTTTTTATGTTATTTAGGTGCTCCGAAAAGTCCTTACGGTCTTATCACGGAGCACCGAGAAGTCCTTACGGTCTTGTCACGGAGCACCGCGGGAGAGCATTTAACTGGAAGTTAGCGCCTCCTTCCTACCAGTGTCGCTTATTGGGCTAGAGCCGGCGTTGAACCCCGGACCTCTGGGTTCTGAGCCAAAATTCTAACCACTGCGCCATGGCTGCTTAATAATGGGTAACTTAAATTAGTTAAAGTTTAAATAAAACATTATAATACTACCTCTACCACAAGAATAAATAGTTTATATAGTAATGTTAATTATTCTTCATTAGTACATATTATTTATTAAAAGATATTTAAAAAATAAAATTTTTCAATGTACGTGGTATTTAAAAATTAATTACTTATAGTATCTGCATAGGCGTATGGGAAAGTGTTTTCACATTTTGATCGTTTAAAAAATAGTTATTTTTTATATGCACTGATGACTTGGGTTATTGAAAAATTGTGAATGGGGTTTGTTAGAACGTGTTTTGGCCGAATCTGTTATGATGCCTTTTAATTTTCTTTAGAATACTCCTTAGATTAATAAGTCCTTAGAAGTAATAATATTTGTTACTAAATTATTATTTATTTTAACAAATGTTTGTGTTCTAAAAAAGTAAACTTACAAAAGAAAGGTCTTGACAGAAGCAACACCTTGTAGATATTATGCTTGCTCTTTTAAAGCGAGTTTTAATAACAGCGAAACGATTTGTTGCAGCAGAGTTTTTAGTAATACAAATGACGTCAAAAAGGTAGGAGAAGAAAAAAACGTTATGCAAAACTACGTAAAAAATGTTCATTAATTAAATGATGACGTTGCATGCATCTGTTTCCGTGAAATTTTTGTTGCGTCCACACCAAGAGTTAACTGAATTCAGTGCAATGTGTGTTTTTTTAAGCTCACTAAATCCAAATAAAATCCAAATAATGCGAACTTTATATGAAACTAGTTTGTTGTAATGTAAATGCATTATATTCGTTTGAATTCTAAATAATATGGACAAAAATAACAATCTTAAAAACATTTATTATCATTAAACAAGTGTTTTATAGTTTCTTTTTGTGATTCTACTTACCCCATCAACTGTTTCAACATCAACCCCAAAACATCAATTTAACAAGCTTAAATGGTAAAGTTTATAAAAATGCCTTATGGTTACATTATGGAGGTATTTATTCAAATACATTACTTAATTTATTCAAATACATTACTTAATTTATTCAAATACATTACTTAATTTATTCAAATACATTACTTAACTTATTCAAATACATTACTTAATTTATTCAAATACATTACTTAATTTATTCAAATACATTACTTAATTTATTCAAATACATTACTTAATTTATTCAAATACTGTGGAATATTAAGTATTGAATAATAGTAATAATATTTAAAGTGATAACTATATAATAAATAACTAAATAATAAATACTAAATAATAAATAACTAAATAATATGTTTTTTTGTGTTGTACTATAGCAATTCCAAATGATTTTTGAAATGAAAGAGTTTATGAAAAGCATTATTAGACCAAGTTTAAAAATACTTGCGTTAAGATCAATTTAACAAAAAATGTAACAAAAAATTAATTGTGAGAACAGAATCATTAAATATTTCAAAAAATAACAAATCAATTGAAATGTTTTATGTATAATATATGTAAATGTGTATGTTCCACATACACATTATTATTTTATGATAATTATGATAATATTATTAGTGGTATAGTTGTTTTAATAAAAAAAAAAAAATAGTTATTTTCAAACCAAAACTTTTTTTTGGCTTTATCAGATTGCTCGATAAATGTCCTATCGACAATTTTAGATCATATTTATCAGCGTTACAATACGCTCTGCTTTTGAACATGTGCATCAAAGTCACAGATGTAGTAGCATTCACAACAAAGCGTATTATTACTTAATTGTCTTAAAATTTTTGATGCTGAGTGAACTAACAAATCTGCTGAAAATACCTCATAGTTAAATACTCCATTTAATTGCATGATAAGTAAATATAACTTTAAAATAACAAAATATTAATGCATATATAATATACAAACATAAATCAAGCATAAACGTTTTAATTGAGAATTTAAATTTCATATAAAACTTTTTCGGAAAAACAATTTTTTCCATATATGAGTGGATGATATAGATATTTATAAGTATTTGTCTTCCAAAGATTCTCTCATCACTATTTTAAGAAATGCATTATGATTATAAATATTAGTCTTCCAAAGGTTCTATAATGGCTATCTTAAAGAAAGTATTATGATTATAACTATTTGTACTCCAAAGATTCTCTCGTCTCTATTTTAAAAAAAGCATTACGTATTAGCATCAAAATGTTTAAAAATATTATCCTTAAAAGTTGCTTAACTCGAAATTAAAAAAATTGTAATTCTACCTCTCTAACTGAAAATATTATGTTTTAGAAGAAATTAGCTTGAGTCCTACCCTTCATAGATAGTTTTTTGTGTGTATTTGAAACTGTGCTTCAATATTAAGTACTATTTATTAACATCTACCTTTAGATTGTATATGTCAGATATTTATGGCCTGCAACATGGTGCTTTATTAATAGGAGTAATTTTTGCAACCAACACAACTAAAGTTGTTTAATTTTTATTGTAACATAAAATTATTGTCACATAAAAGTTTTATAATTTAGAATACAAAGTATTCGATTTGATTGTCCTTCTGATTTAATTATTTTCAAGAGTTTACTAAAGATAAAAATATTTTTAAAGTGGACATTATTTAAAAAAAAGCAACTTATGTTTTTTCTCTTTTATTTCTAATTCAGCAAGCTGTATTAATAAAAATGTTCATATAATATCTTTAATTCATGTTAGTTAGTATTTTAAATGATAACTATTTCAAATAATCATTGTTTAACGATTTAATGACTGTCGACGACAAAAATATCATGTAGAATAATCTATTACATCTATACATTATATAATCATTAAATAACGTCTGTCGTTATTTAATGATTATATCATTAATTAATGATAACTTCAATAAAATAAATTACAACTTTAAGCAACTATTACATGTTAATCAAGTCAAACATTAAAACTTAATCAAATAAAATAATTACTCTTGGTTTAATATATCTGTTACTATATATTTGTTACTTTTTATTTGTTACTTTATATTTCTTACTTTATATTTGTTACTTTATATTTGAGCAAATTAATTTATCAAAGAATGAGAGCTTTTAGTTAAAATTTTTTTTGTTAAAATTTGTTTCATTTTTTAGATCTAATTAAATTTTTGTTTTTATTAAGTTGAAAAAGTTTTAAGTTTCTTACTGTCAAACTGACTTTTATCGATCTAATAAAAATTAAATGTTACATATTTTTAATTAAAAAGGACTTATAAATCTAATTCATATGTAGCAGATTGCAAGTAACAAAACCTGTTTAAGCAAACAGCACGCAACCACAGGGATCCACTGAGGTAAAGTAACCACTATCATCACTAGCAAAACAAAAATCTACAAAAAACAAAACAAAAAAACAAAAAAACAAAAAAAAAAATACAAAAAAAAAATAATAACAACAAAAAACACTAGACTAATTTTTATGTTATAAATAAAAAGTTTTTTAACTTTTTTAAATAACAAGTTAACAAAATTTATAGCACAACTTTAAAAAATAAAACTTCATTAAAATACTATCATTAGTTCTACCTGTTATTGCGACAAAATTTACATAAATAATATACCACAAGATAATATACGGGGATACAATCAAGTGATTACATTTATTAAATGCAACAACTATTCATTTGAAAATGAAAATAAATATATATATATATATATATATATATATATATATATATATATATATATATATATATATATATATATATATATATATATATATATATATATATATATATATATATATATTTATATATATATACTGACATAAAGACGTGAAGACTATGAAATAAAAAAATATATGAACAAGTTTAGTTTTTCATTTTTAAAGACGCGTTTACCTTGTTTTAATAAAAGGCTAAAAACAAAAATTTGACTTTTATCGAAGGAAAAGTCTTTTAAAAAATTTCTATTTTATGTTTGAGCTATTTTTATACAAGTTTGATAGTTTTTTTTAAAGCCTCATTTGTCAATTGAAAACTGTTTTATTTAAAAGCGACATTCAGCGCTTTCTAGTTACAAAATTTTTTACAGAAACAACCTAATATAGAATATTGATTTAATTTTCTGATAAATAAAGGGGAAACGTTGAAAAAAGAATCTAATTACCAGTTTCAGGCCTTGACGTCATGGTACATTTTTAAACTATTTTAAATTAAAACCTACCGCTATAAAGAACAACCATTAAACGGAATATTTATATATGTTATGAAAAATTAAAAGCATAGTTAATTATGCTTTCAAATAATATACTAACTAAAATCAAATAAATCTTTTTCAAGTTGTTCAACAAGTTTATTTGATTGTATTTATTCCAATTTCAAAGAGTCATAAAATATTAACAACCTATAAAAAACTTGATTTTATAGATTTAATACATATACATATATATATATATATATATATATATATATATATATATATATATATATATATATATATATATATATATATATATATATATATATATATATATATATATATATATATATATATATATATATATATATATATAAACGTATTTTATATTTAGAAAAAGAAAATTTAAATGAAAGTAAATGAAATATTTTAAGTAACTTACAAGGTACGTTTTAAATAAATTATCAAATATATTATAGGGGCAAGTCTATTTGCCAATATTATAAATGAACCAACTCTATTGCATTCATATTAACAAAATAACGCAACTAAATTGCATTCATATTAACAAAATAACGCAAATTAGCCTATGGTTATCCCGATATTTGCAACAAGGCTGGTTTATTCTAGCTTTATTACTACCTTAGCCTCAATCAATTAATTACTGAATTAAAACAAGGTGATTGACTAGTAATATTTTGCAAATAATGCATTTAAAAAGCTAGACATATACATGCTTTGAAAGCCACTGCAGTGGCTTTCAAAAATATAACTTAGATTTTTCAACTATTACTTAAATTATTAAAGCTTAAAAAAATGAAAAAGTAAAAAAAAAATAAAAATAAAAATTTGGAATACATTGTAAGCAAAAATAAATAAAAAGTTTTAAAAATATTATTTTGGTACCAAAATTAATATTTGCACGAGTTTACGCAGTGTAATTCAGCATTATGAGTTTACGTAGGCTTGCGTTTTCACCGGTTTTCATGTCTTCCAAAAAATAGTCTGTAAGTAAGTAAAAATTTATTTTTTAAGGTCTTTTTGTAATACTCGTCAATTCACCTTGCATAAATATTTTGAAATCCTATTCCTTTATGAGAAATGATTCCTCGTATACTAATCGCAACCGCCTTGTTCTCTTAGTACGCAAAATATTTCCATATTTCTCTGAAGCTAATTAACAATAATTCTTGATCGACAATTAGTCCCCTCAAAAATTGATTCATTTCTTAAAATGACTTTAGAGCAATCTTCTTCCGACCAGTGAAGACTTTCTTTACACCAAGTATATCTTTTAATCCTATCTGTCACCATTAAAATGTTTTTTTTTTTTTGCAACAACATGAAAATCAATACCTTTATTATTAAGACGCCATCTAACTGCGCTATAACTAATACTTTATAATCAGCTTTATTAATAATCTTAGCTGACAGTTTTCGCGTGCTAAATTTAGGATCTTTCCTTACCCTTTGATACAATAAGCTTTGATTCTTACAATAAAGTTTTGACGGCCTGTCAATTATTGATGAATCTTTTACGTTATTTAAAATTTTATAGTTTTTCAGGGATATATGGACACAGCACAAAACCACTTAATCTTGCCACTTTTTTGTTGACTTTTTGATTATAATTGGATAGACATACTACTTCCTATTTGACTTCTTGTGATACTGATTTTCTTGCCAATTTCCTTTTTTCAGGTGTGTCAAGAATTTACTAATTAAAATATCTCTTGAAACACTGATAAGAAATTTATTTTTTATAGAATTATTATTTTTTTCAATATAATTAAATTTTTTTGTAATTTATATAGGTCAAAACGAGTGCAAATTTTTAGGATTCTCGTTTAACTAATTTAAAAGCTATTATGTTTAAATTAACTGACCATATAAATTTGACATATATTTTAATAAGTATTTATTAGGGTTGCTTTAATTTACCATTAATTTACTCAGAAAAAAAATATGATAGAAAATTTTTAATATATTTTTAGAAAACTTATTGATTAATTAACTCAAAAATTAAAAACTATATGATGCTAAATTGTAAATGAATTTAAACTGAGATGCTATCTTTTTGAATAAACATTTTAAAAGTCACCAAAAAGGTTATTAGATACCTAACTACCTTCAGTATTCTAGGGAATTTGATGGTACCAAGTTTTATGAAAGAAAGCAAACATTCAAATTCATGTTCAAATAACGCAGAGGTGTTTTAATCAACGCAAAATAATCGGGTTTGTTTTGATTTTCTTTTGGTTAAATAGACTATTTTTTTGCATCATAAACTAAATAGTTTTCAAAAAAGGTAAATTATATTTTTACGTGGTTATAAAGGTGTTCTGAGAAGATTAACGGTCTTCTCACAGAGCACCTCGGTTGAAAAATTCATTTAAAAAGACCATTTATCGCGCTTTTCTTACCGAAATTCCTTAAATAGAAAGAGCAAATCAGAACCAATATTCTAACCATTAGGCAACGGCTGTAATGCAAATAGATTTCATTAAAAAAAAAAAAGTAATAAAGGCACAAACACATGTTTGTTTTTTTATAACATATCAAGCAATGACATATAAGAGACCGTATAAAGTTGCTCATTTTTTGAAGTATAACTTGTAATAAACATATAAGTATAATTATTTAGAATCTATAATCTCCTGACAGATATTATGTTTTTTGAATTTACAGAAATAAATTGGTAAAAATAAAAAATTTGATAACCTTACGACTATGTGTCAGGAGTTTTGTTTGCAATTTTTTCAAGTCTTTTTTTTCTTCATGCGTGTAGACACTTATATTTTTAATACTCCGTGTATATACTTGTGTTTCTAATACAATAATAAATGTATCTATCAATAATAAATGACTATCGACTATAAATAGAAACTAAAACCAGATCTATAAAACAAAAGATTTAATAAATTATAAAAATTATAATCAACTAAATTACTTAAAACTTAATGTTTACACTCCACACACTAAAAAAAAAAGGTAGAAATTTCTTCTTAAGGTAGGAAATGTGATATACCCTTAGTAAGGTGTAATTTTCTACTTATTAAGATAGAAAGTTATGCCTTTAAGGTAGAATTTTTTGGGATAACTGCTAGCATATTTGCTGCATTATTAATTGTGTAGGTTCTGTGGACATTCGCCAAAATTCTATGGCAAATAATTGCTTTTATTATAATTTTCTACCTTTAAAGGTAGAAAATTATACCTTACTAAAAGTATATCACATGTCCTACCCCAAGGTAGAAATTTTCACCTTTTTTTATTAGTGTGCATAATCGTTGGTGTAAAATATAGTATATATAAGAAAATTTTACACCAACCATTATGCACGCTAAAAAAAAAGGTGAAAATTTCTTAAATTTGGCGCGCCAAAAATCTATGTATATAAAAAAAATAGATTTTTGGCGCGCCAAACTATTCAATGTGTTTCAATGACCGCCAGGGTAAAATTTGATTTAGTTATTATTATTAAAAGTAAGTGTTTCAAAGTAATTTTTAAAATCTTACCTTTTTAACTTCAATAATGAAGATTAATCAATAATTCTCTATAAAATATTACGCCATTTTATGATTACATTATCAATTCAAATTTGTAAAAAAAAAATGTAGTAGGTATATAAAGACTTGCTATAACGTTAATTGTTCTTAAAGGAATTATATAAAAGTTAATGCTAAAAGAGCCAAAGCAGAACGCCTATTTTGTGTTTAATGCTTTTCTGCCTTTGAAAAAAAATTGCATCAACTTATACAAGTCTCACAATGTAACTCCATATTGAAAACTTGTTATGAATAAAATATGATGGATATTTTCTAAAAACCATTTGTACTTCTTGCAAAACAAGTTTAATAAATTGAACAAGGGTAAAGCATCAAAATTCTTTAAATTAATTAGATTAAAAAAACCTTTCAAGTTAACTCGCGAGCTTAGAAATATTTTGAAATCCACTTTTTGAAAAAATTGAGTTATTGATTGTGTCATGTACCTCAAAGGAATGTTTTTTTACTATATTGAAAGTCATTATCAAAAAAGTTGCGGAGATAACAAATGTAATAAATATCTTTTTAAATGCCGTCTCCTAAAGTTTTTGTTTTTTAAATCGTTATATCTCAAAACTCAAAAATGTGGAGATAGAAGAAGAAAATTCTAATCTAGCGAACTGTTATA